GGTCTATAGTAATTTTTAATGCCGTACCAATAGACATTAGCCTTGGGTAGGCGTGTGCCTACTTTGGGCTGTACCCCCCTTTGCCTCTGGGGGAGGGAGAGAGAGGGGGGGAGGGGGGCGGGCTCTATTTGCAGGGGGGGGAGGTCGGGTACGGGTTTGCAGTCTCGAGTTGTCCCCTCTCTACGTTACTTGTGCGATTTCGGTATGCAGCAAAATCCACTCAACGCGTTGATGTGTCCGGCAATCTCAAATAACAATCAACCATGAAGTGTCAGCATGCAGCTATCCTCACTCAAAGCGTTTATGTCTCTGGCAATCTCAACGTACAGTCAACCCATGAGGTGTCAGCATGCAGCTATCCTCACTCAGCGCGCCTATGTGTCCGGCAATCTCAAGCATGAATCACCTGTGAGGTTTTAGTATGCAGCTTTCTTTACTCGTCTATGTCTCTGGCACTCTCCGATACCAATCAACCTGTGAGGTTTCAGTATGCAGGTATCCTCACTCAACGCTGCTATGTGTCCGGCCATCTCAATCATCAATCCACCCGTGAGATTTCAGCATGCAGCTATCCTCCCTCAACTCTTCTATGTGCCCGGCAATCTCGAGCATCAATCCACCTTTCAGTATGCAGCTATCCTCACTCAACGCGTCTATGTGTCTGACTATCTACAGTCAGCCCATGAGGTGTCAGTATGCAGCTATCCTCACTCAGCGCGTCTATGCGTCCGGCAATCTCAAGCATGAATCACCTGTGAGGTTTTAGTATGCAGCTGTCTTTACTCGTCTATGCTCTGGTACCGGTCGCCCCGGTGGTCTAGTGGTATGCTCGTAATCCGCTAGTTGCAGAGGTCGTGATTTCGAATTCCCAAGGGGTGAAAAATTTACGAAATGTGAAGGTGAAAGCGAAATATAGCTGACAAGCTCTCGTGAGTGCCAAACTTCGACGTTAGCACCGTTGACGAGGGAAAGGGACGGCTGGACCCTTCTCGCGATAAAAATAAAATTCAGCACGCATCGCAGGAGGAAGGTTGGGCATGAAAAGAAACAAAAAGAAGAAAAAAGCCCTGGTGTTTACGCCCTCCTGTGTGATCTTGGATGGTTGTAGTTCGAAAAATACACTGAAAAGTGTAGTAATCTACATACGCTGAAAAGTGTAGTACACATGTCGCCACGAAAAACGGGGGGACTGGCGCCATAATAAATAGGACGAAAACACACACACACACACTCTCCAATACCAATCAACCTGTGAGGTTTCAGTATGCAGGTATCCTCACTCAACGCTTCTTTCTATGTGTCCGGCAGTCTCAATCATCAATCCACCCGTGAGATTTCAGCATGCAGCTATCCTTCCTCAATCTTCCATGTGCCCGGCAATCTCAAGCATCAATCCACCTTTCAGTATGCAGTTATCCTTACTCATCGTGTCTATGTGTTCGGCAATCTCAATAGTCACCACCCGTGAGATATCAGTATGCTGCTATCCTCACTCAACGTGTTCTCCTGGCTATTCCATACTCCAAACATCGCCCTGAATTATCCCTCGACTTTTCCAGCTCAGTCATGTACACTCCCATCTCCATTTACAACGGACATTCCTCAACTACATGAACACGGTGTTCGCTCTCGGAGCCGCGATCACATTTGAACTTATTGTCCATGTCGCCTACCTTCCTATGTCCTCGTCTGCGTTCTTGAAGGCTATTGTTCCCAGTCCTGAGTTTGGCCTTGAGCTTTGTCCCTGCAGCCATTGGTCCATCGAGGTACTCCTTGAAACCAGTCCCTTCTTCCAGCATTCCGCACAACTCAAGAACCTTCTCATCCTTGGTTTCTTTGGTTACATTCTGTATTTCTCTCTCGGCACAACCAACAGATGTATTCTCCTTGAACCCCTGTAGACCCTCCGTTTCCAGCGTTTCGCCTCGTTGATTTCGAACCCACTCCGTGGGTTGTCAACCCCCCTTCTTGATTGCCCACTTCGCCGCCCAAGGTATTCTCGGCAACCTCTCTTCTCCCACACCGCACATGCGGTACTGCCATGTTAGCCTCCTTGCGTCTCTTCCCGATCGTAGGGATGGGATCCCCAGTTCTGCCCTGACGGCTGCAATACTTGTGCGCTTGGAGTATCCTAGGATGATTTTCGCTGTTTTCATCCGCGCCGCCTCGAGCTCTTTGACTGCTCTCTTATTTCCTTGCCATACCTTTCCGGCGTACTCTAGCGGCGGTATGACCACACTCTTCAAAATCGGCAATTTGATGCGTGTATCTAGGTGCCGGTTTGCGAGCATCGGGTACAGCTTCCTTGCTCGTGCTTGTCCCTTTTCCGCTACCTTGGACATGGGTGTCCAGTGGGTCGGTGGTATCGTATGTAACCAACGATAGAGTCGCGTTGCTTTGCAGCCACAACACCCATCTCCCGCCGTCGATTCTCGGCTGCTGCTTCGTAACTGCTGCGCGACTACCGAGGCAAAATTTGTAGACGACTGGATAGGTATGATAACGATATACTTCCTCTGTATCATAAGTCTGGTCTGTTATGTGCGTGTAGTAGTAAAGATACTTACACGTTGACGTTTAGCCTTTGGCTGGGTGCGTTAGAAAGGCAAGACACATGCAAAGCTGACTAAAAAAAACAACAATCGAAGACCGTGTTATACACAAAATTAGGTCAAAATATGCCCATTTTGGCCTGTTTTGAGATTTTTTTGAGTTTTTTTTTAGAATTCGTGAGATCAGTCGTGATTACCACCCCCCACACACTATGCAAACGATGGATACGCCCCCAAGTACCCCCCCACATCGCCCCAAGGGCGGCGAGCTTTCAGTGGGCCGCCGCATTGCAATTGTAGTGGAGGCTGCGCTGGCTATTCCGCCGGGCCAAGCACCGATACCCAAGGGTGCGCTGGGCCCACCGACACCAACAGACACTTTTTATGCCCGCAAGTGTCTTGGTTTTTGTGTGGGCCCCCAAGTGTATTGGTTTTAGTGTGGAACCCCCAAGTGTCTTAGTTTTAGTGTGGGGCCACTATTATATTGCTTTTGAGTATAGGGGGGCGCGATGTGGGTCGCTGAGTAGAGGGGGGGGGGATTCGGGCCCTACTTTGTTGTTTTGTTGCCCCGCAAGTGTCTTGGTTTTTGTGTGGGCCCCCAAGTGTATTGGTTTTAGTGTGGAACCCCCAAGTGTCTTAGTTTTAGTGTGGGGCCACTATTATATTGCTTTTGAGTATAGGGGGGCGCGATGTGGGTCGCTGAGTAGAGGGGGGGGGGATTCGGGCCCTACTTTGTTGTTTTTTTGCCCCGCAAGTGTCTTGATTTTTGTTTGGGATCCCCAAGTGTCTTGGTTTTAGTGTAGACCCCAAAATGTCTTGAATTTAGTGTGTGGGTCACTATCAATATGGTTTTAGTATAGGGGACGTATTGTGGATGGCTGAGTCTAGGCGGGGTTAGCTTTAGGGTTGGGGATAGTTCTTGGTTTTTTGGGGGGGGTTAGGCTCAATGTNGGGCGCGATGTGGGTCGCTGAGTAGAGGGGGGGGGGATTCGGGCCCTACTTTGTTGTTTTTTTGCCCCGCAAGTGTCTTGATTTTTGTTTGGGATCCCCAAGTGTCTTGGTTTTAGTGTAGACCCCAAAATGTCTTGAATTTAGTGTGTGGGTCACTATCAATATGGTTTTAGTATAGGGGACGTATTGTGGATGGCTGAGTCTAGGCGGGGTTAGCTTTAGGGTTGGGGATAGTTCTTGGTTTTTTGGGGGGGGTTAGGCTCAATGTCCCACGTACCCCACCCTCCGGAAAAGGGCAAAATATGGCCGTTTTTGGGCCGACTCAAAGTTATCCGGCCGTTTAGTCGCATGGTTCAAGCACCAGCTTAAAAAAAAAAATGTTTTCTTGCTCAAGAAACGCCATAGAATTCAACAAAAAAAACGAAAACCAGATCGGACACCGTTAAGGCGGCGTATAAACCTAACAGACCAGACTTGGGATACAGAGGAAGTATATCAATAGCGGGTACTTTGTGAGTGAGTGTCCTCTTCTTCGTTCAAAGCTTCAAGCTTTGGACAGTCTATAGATCTACGCGAACATCTTCACCGCACGTTCAGATGAAGGCACAGCAGCTACAGTTTTTTGGAACCGTTCCGGTACAACTGCCGGTATGTGCCAGGGCATACGACCGGATTTTTCCTGGAACACGCATCACGTAGGATTGGTGCTGGTATGGTACCAAAGCGGCACTTTCAGGGCTTGAGACGTCCTCTACGATAGAACGCCGATATTTCGGCATTTACAGCAGCACTGACGAAATCATCGAATGAAACAGTGAGCGCGTGCACCATCAACGGATGCAGAACAGGGTTTGCGATTGTGGTCTATATCCAAGAGGGAACAGTAGTCGAAGACGACCTTCCGGCTCAGATAGTGCCAGTCGCACATTGAGCTGCGACATTCAAGCTGTGATGCCGAAGCTGCCAATGAGTCCGAAATTCTAGATTCCCTCAAGTCCAGATCCGACCTGATCTATGTAGGATAGGGGAGGGACGGGCAGCTGAGACCTTTCTGGTCTACCACGCGGGACGGGATCGGGTGAATGAGGCTGCACGTGTTGGTCGGAATGCGATGGGGATCGAATAGAGTACAGTATCACGAGGACACACGACAAAGAGGAAGTCGGAAAATGTCGATCAGGACGCCTTCTCTCCTTTGACCGGGAGGAGAGCATGATGTAGTTGTTAGGGAAAGACAGCGGGAACGCGATGGGGCAAGACACGGGGGAACGCTTGAGACCTTCAAACGCTCCCCCCCCCATAAGGGGGCCCACGTGACATTAGGTCACAGCTCTGACCCACGCGGTGTTCTGTCACCATGTTCCTCGCACCCTCTTGCACTTAGATATCGGCGAGCAACAAACTGACGGGACTAAAGGTGTAGCTTCCGCCGCCCCCGCCGCCCCCGCCGCCCCTCTCCACCTTCCATCTTCGGTTACGGGTCGACTCCCGGACCGCATGCCTCAGGTTGACTCCTGGCTAGACTTCTCGGCTTTGCTTTCTTCGGAGCACCTGGCGAGCCTGAACAAGCACCTCGCCGGCCGGTCCTTCCTCGCCGGCGACGCTTTCTCGTTGGCGGATGTCGCGGTCTACTTCGCTTGCGCCGCGGCCGTGGCCGCCGCTCCCCCCGCGGCCGGGAAGCAACTGCACTTCTGTCGGTGGTGAGGGTGGTGGTGACTCTGTTATTGCTGTGCAAGATTGCCGTAGCGCTAAGTAGGAGTGCTTGCGGCGTGATTTTGAGCCAACCGTGATGTCGTAGGTTGTGTTTCGTCTCGAGAGAAGCTTTCAAGTACGCACCTCGTTGTTCTGCGTTGCCCTTGCTCTCCCCCCCGCATGGCATACCTGCTATGATGCATAGGCACGCTCTCTTTCCGCTTGCAGGGCCTGTTGTTGTTGTGTTTCTGTTGACGGTGGTGGTAGAATGTCTGTTGAACCCTGTCTAGGACAGGCTATGCTTCGTTCCGGTAATTTCTGGGCCACCAACCGACTGACGTGCACCACAACAGTCAGTAGAGGGCGCTCACTAGTGCCGGGTGCCCAATATGGTGCCGATGGAATCGCATGGCACAGACGTGCCCTTTCTCGCACAACCCCGCCGACCCGCCGACCCGGCGTTTTATACCCCCGGGAGTTTCGTGTTGAAAATCTTGTTTTTCCTCAAGCCGGTGTTTTACTCCTTGCTGCATCGCAAGGAGGGCGACACACGAAGTATCAAGAGCACACCAAGAGTTATTTATCGCACCGGCTACTCGTGACCCCATCCCCCCCCCCCCCCCCCCCCCCCCCCCCCCCCCCCCCCCCCCCCCCCCCCCCCCCCCCCCCCCCCCCCCCCCCCCCCCCCCCCNACCTTTAGCCCCCCCCCCCCCCCCCCCCCCCCCCCCCCCCCCCCCCCTGCCCACCTACATGTCTCATCTCTCGCCCTCCCCCTTGCACCTGCAACACGGGGCTGCCGTGCAGGTTCAATCAAGTGCAACACCGCGTGAGGCTACTGGCGCCGTCTTGCACGGTCCTCCCCCCTACCGTACCCCTCAACATCTTCTCGCCAGTCGCGGTGCCCCTGCCCGCAAAACAACCAGCCACCTCCAGCGGCGCAGCCCAATCGGCAACCGCGGGGTTGGCGGCCGCGGCGGCGGCGGCGCCCGCCGGTGGTGTCGGCACAGAGAAATCGGCGAGCGGTAGCAGCCCTGCAGAGGGCAAGAAGGACAAGAAGAAAAACAAGGGGGCGGCGGCGTGGGGTGAGGACGGGGATGGTAAGGCGGCGGCGGCGGCGGCCGCGGCGAAGAGTGAGGCGAACAAGGGGAAGGGGTCTGCTGCGCCTGCTGCCGCCGCCGCCGCCGCCGCCGCGGAGGGGGACCCGTCGAAGCTCGACGTACGCGTTGGCACTATCGTGAAAGCGTGGGAGCACCCTGACTCTGAGAAGCTGTTCTGCGAGGAGATCGACCTTGGGGAGGTGGGTCGATCGCGTGAGGTCGAACCGGTTTGGTTTTGGGACGCACTCGCCATTGCTAGTTCTAGTGCTGTGTGTGTCTTGCTTTAAGTAGCAGCGACCGGTTGACCAATGCAATGACGTCCTTGTCGGCGGTAGAAATCAAAGGCCCGGGAGGTTTCTATGTGTTGTGTGCTGGCCAATAGGTTGTGGCGGCGGGAGAGGTGGGGCCGGGTTGGAGTCGAAGGGGAAGAGAGAAGGAGGAAGAAACTATTATACTTATCTTTTGAGGAGGAGGGAACACGGGTTTCGAGGAAGGGGGAAGAACATGGGAAGGAAATGTTTGCCGCGCAGTGTGTTGAAGTGATGAAAATAGTGCCAACGAGAACCTTCCCCCTTACACCGTTAACTCGCTCTCCCCGTCCGCACCGTTCCCCGTGGGTGCCCCTCACGGCCTGCAGGGAACGAACAGGAGTATCGCCTCGGGGCTGCGAGCGTTCTACACCTTGGAGGAGATGCAGGGACGACGAGTTATCGTTTTGGCTAACCTCAAGCCCCGCAACATTGGTGGCTTTAAGAGCAATGGGATGGTGAGATTAGCGAACACCACGCGCACTTGGCACCAGCTCCTTTTTTCTTGTTTGCTTTCTGGTTCCCTATGGTCTTCGGCATCGCGTGGTTGCATGAGTTAGCAGCTGATGCGGCTTGCGCGGGAATGACCCCCAAGCGTCCTGATCTGAATCACCCTATCCCGTGAAAAACAGGAGGATCGATTTGAGCAGACAGCGATTCCATACGTCCTGTGTTGTGCCCCGCCTACCTGCACTTCATCTGTCCTTTTATGTTTTCCTTCCTCTTCGTCTACCTGTTTCGCCTGCTCGACGGCCTTGTTGTCGGCATGAATCTCAGTTTTGACTGTCAACGTGGTGGACTGAAAACCGTGTATCAATGCCCGGGAACCACCGCCCGGGAGAGAGCAAGGCATTCCTTCCGGAAAGAAGCGGCCGATATCAGCCATCGAGTGTTTTTCAAGTTGCGAGGATATGACCTCCCGCAACCTCGACGGAGATCCCCCCGTACAACACACGCCGTCCTCTCCCTGCCTCCTCGAATGTTGCGGTTTGGCGTGAAACGTTCACGCAACACGAACATTCCCCCCTTCCTCGTCCCCGAAAAAATACCCCTGTTTGTCCTCAGGTCCTCTGTGCGTCCTCCGAAGATCACAGCGTGGTGAAGATCGTTGAGCCGCCGCCCGGCGCGGCCATTGGGGCGCGAGTCACCGTGAGCGGGACGGAGGGGGAGCCGGCAACTCCCGCCCAAGTGCAGAAGAAAAAGGTAAGATGTAATTTTTTCTTTTGTTTTTCGCACCTCCTGCACGCTCGGCCGTGTACACTGGACATCAGTACATTACCGTGGAAGTGCAGGCGAACGCAAACAGCTGTGCGATCGATACTTCGAGCATGATTGTTCCACAACCAAGGGGCTGCCAATACCGGAAATAGCGTGGTTTTTGGCAGATATTGTAGAGAGCCTTCCGTGCACACTTCGGTCGAGTTTTTGACACCCTCTCGGGTACTTAGCAACCTTTATTGTGGAAGTCGATCGCACATGTGTGGATTCACCGCGCTCTCGCGATATGTACAGCAGCATTAATTGATCTTGTCGCATTCGGTCGGCCAGGAAGAGACCGACGGGTTTGTGTACCTTTGTGTTGCGCATACCTTTTCCCCAGCGCACATGTTAGAACAGCAGGAGGGGATCGATCGCTGGGCGACGTTCGCCACCACTACCTTTGCTGCGCAGGCTGCAGCCCATACAGCACTTCGCAGATGGCATCCCGTTGTTTTCCTCCAGGACTTAAATTTACTTTTTCGAGTAGCAATGACGGTGCACTGCATGACCTGTCAGGGGTATCGTTTTTGGTCTCCAATTGATTGGTAAAATCAAATGAATGTTGGGTCAATGGAACATCTCAGAGGAGAAGAGCCAATTGACATGCACCGAAACGGTCGTACGTACTTCGCTTAGCAAGGGGACGACTACAGTGCATGGAAGAGGGGCTTTGTGGGCGTTCCAAGTGTTACCCGGAGTATTTCGCTGAACGAAAGAGAAATGAACGAGCAAGATAACTCCGTGGAAAGAAGGGACTACCAGCTCTCTTGGTGCCTTGTTTCTGTTTCCCATGTCTGGTATGTCGTGTTTGAAGATCACCGTTTAGTCTAGCCAGAAGGATTTTCAACGCGTTGCGTATCGTTTTACAAGATTCTGTCTTGTTCGTCTGTGTTCGTGCGTAGAAGTAGATGGTCGAAAAGTAGCCGTTACGTAGGACGCAGCTGGGACAACTTGAAGGGTATGTGCTGAAAGGCTTTGGATGATAGTGCGGAATCCCCGTGTTCTCTCGAGAATTGGGGTCCTCTCCTCCTTCTCCCTCTCTCCTCCCTCATGCGAGCTAATACACACAGTTAAACAGCAGCCCCAAGTCCGCCGGCCCTTGTCAGGGCTAGGGCTCACGAACACGCTAGCGTTCGTCCTCCCGGGAGGATCCGCAAGACGGTGCGGGCTATGCCAAGCGAGAGGCAGCGGGGTTCCAGCAGCCAGGGTACGCAACTCTGAACTGGACGCTTTCTGACTGGAACGGAGCAGTAACTGAACGAGTAGAGATGACAGAGGTGCAGGAGATGATGGGCATGCCGCCATCGCTACTGCAGGCCGAGTCGGAAGGGCAAGGCCAGGAGGGGTCGGCGGCGCTGCAAGAGGGCGCCGCGGGTGCGGCGGAATTGGGGATTCCGCCGAGCAGCCACCGAGAGCTGTATCCTGCGGTAGTCGTCAGGGAGTGCGACACTGCTGGAGGAGAGAACAGCAGTAGGCCGGGCGTGGAAGGCGCCCTTGTGCGGGATGTGGAGGTCCCTGCTGCAGGTGGGTTTGGTGCATTCCAAGACACCAACTCTCTTCGTAAGTACGTTCGGCAGTGCTTGCGTACAGCAGTCTGCTGCCGCTGGAGACACTGGTGAGAGTGTCACAGCAACCGATCAATCCATTCAGGGGAGGTCGGGTGGAGAATGCGGCACGGCGGAAGGGTCGTGTCCACTGTTCTGCCTTGCTGTAGTAGCGGGCGGGGCGCACAGAAGTCGCCGGAATTGATGGTGCAACAGAACGGACGGAGGGGCCGTGAAGTCGCGCAGTTTTGGCGCGCACTCCATCTGCGGTAAGGCGGTGGATCAACATGAAAGGCGTTAGAGTAATCGGCGCAACAGAACGGACGGAGGGGCCGTGAAGTCGCGCAGTTTTGGCGCGCATTCCATCTGCGGTAAGGCGGTGGAGCACCAGGACGGTAGAGAGACCGTTGGGCAGGATTGCCGGAGACACTCAACCATGGATCGACCGCGCGACGGCGCGGGGGGGGGGGGGCGCCGTACATGCTTGATGCT